CAGGGGTGGGCAATAATTTTTGATGGGGGGCCACTCCAAGATTTTGGAAAGTGGTCAAGGGCCTTACTCTTCTATGATATTAATGGAGGAGATGCTGGGTCTGGAATGGAGGTTGGGTGCAGAAGGGAGTTTGGGGTAAGTGACTGGGGTGCAGGAGGGAGACTGGAGTTTGAGAAGGAGTTGGGATGAAGCAGGCAGTTGTGACCAAGGGCAGGGGACTGGAGTGCAGGGGTTTGGGATGTCACCTAGGTAGGAAGGGATTGTGATCTGGGGCAGGAGATTGGGGTGCCAGATCTGGGAGAGTTTATGGGTGTAAGAGAGGGACAGAGGGTTTGGGTATGTTGAGTGGGGGGGTGGTGGTGGAGGCAGAGAGTTGGGACAGGAGGTATGTTAAGTGGGGGGGGGGCAGAGGGTTGGGGCAGGAAAGGGCTGGGGTGCCAGAAGCAGGCTGTGGCCAAGAAACTTACTTGTCAGCTGCCAAACTAGCCTGCCTGCCTGCAGAGCTTAAAATGTTTCCCAGCCAGCCAGCCTGCCTGCTTGCCTGTCCATGTGCTTCATGAATAACTGAGCGGAGGAGAGGGGGCGTGATACTTCTTAGTTGCCTGTTGTTCTAACAAGAAGCTCATATTGGCTGGGTTCTGCCAGAAACTGGCCAATGGGAATGTCCTGAGGGTGGGGGAGGGCTCCTAAAACTTCCTCTCCCCCTCCAGTTTCAAAACAGAAATGGAGTCCTGCATCTGCTTCTCTGCATAGCAAGTGGGGCAAGCAGAGGAGCCTGCCTGGGGCGCCCCGCTGCCTCCATGGGCTGGATCCGGTGGCTTGGTAGGCCAGATTCAACCTGTGGGCTGTATTTTGCCCAGGCCTGATTTAGACCTTGGTTCAGGATGTAAAACTTGCAGCTTATACTCTAATATCCTAATATATTTAAAAGTAGCTATTCTTCTAAAAAAGAAATTTACTAGTCAATTACAGAGAGAGAGTCTGCAGAACTGGAATTAATCTACAGATTTGATACTGTTACTTTGGGCTTGAACAAAGACATTAACTGGTTGGCCCATTACAAAGCCAATTTCTCCTGCCTTTAACAACTGCACTTCCACATCAAAAGCTATGTATGGGATGCATCCAGTCCACTTAATTAGCCTCGTTAACATGGGTCTTACAATTGACAGGTACTACTTCTGCTGTTACATATATCTCTTGGTTTCTGTTATTTCCACTCCAACTCATCTAATGAAGTGGGTTTTACCCACAAAAGCTCATGATTCTATATATTTTGATTAGGTGCCACAGTACTACTTATTCCTAATAAATGTGTTAGTTTTTAAAGTGCCTCTGGACTCTTTGTTGTTTATACAGTATAAAACAGCAAATAGTCCTGTGGCACATGAGAGACTAACAAAAATATATAGAATCATGAGTTTTCATGGGTAAAACATGGAAAGCTCATAATTCTATATTTTTGTTAATGTCTAAGGTGCCACAGGACTACTCATTGTTTTTAAAGTTATGGACTACACCTCTGAGACTTTTTAACATACAGTATAAAGTTACTCTTATTTTGAGGTTCTCATAGCTTTCTCCTTGAGCTCCAGGAAACATGGTTAATATTCCTGCCAGATGTGCAGTGATGGACTAATCCTAGTTTTCAGTGATTCCCTATGTGGCCTTGATTAAGTCACTTTCTGCTCTTAGAGAGAAATCTTTCCCCATGGAAGTCCTCATGTATATCATGGAGATAATAATATTCATTTACCTTTCTTAAAGAGTATTAATTAGTTTATATTTGTACATTGCTTTGAAGAAGTAAAGCAGTTTATATAAAGGTTTTATATTATTACTGACTATCTAGGGTAAAATCCTGGTTCCACTGAAATTTATAGAAGTTTTGTTATTGATTTCAATGAGACCAGGATTTTACCCAAGAAGTTTTAACAAAATCTACTTTTGCTCCTGCTATTGCTGACAGGATATCTTATTTGCACTGCACCTAGCACAATGTTCAAAAGCTGTAGACACTATTTTGGGCCCTGTGGACACCACCATGTTTTGCCCCCTTCAGCAGGGTCTGTGGAAGCATCAGAACATCAAGCTTACTACAAAGCTAGAATATAGTTAAAACAACTTTATTGTATAGCAGTTGAAATGTGGACACTGAAGAAGACTGAAGAGCGCTGGACTGACCTTTTCAGTTCTTGTCATCTTCATCAGTTGCTTCACAGTAAGTGTCTACACATCTCCTTTTTGAGCAAAACCCACCTCTTGCGCAAGAGCCATTCTTCTTGAAAAAAAGTGGAAGAACGGCTCTTGTGCAAGAGGGGAGTTTTGTGCAAAAAGGAGCCGTGTATATGGCTCCTTTTTGCGCAAAAACCTCATGTGCAAAAATGGAGCCTCAATAATTATGCAAACGAGGCACAGCGATATTCCATGCTTTGCTTCATTTGCATATTTTTTGCACAAGACAGGGCAGTGTAGATATAGCCGCAGTGTATTACCCACATTTAAGCAGGGATTCTCCCTTTTAAGGACCTGGCCTCCTCCAGGCTTAACATGTCTCACAGGTGCCCCCAGGATTGGTGTTCAGTGTGCCTAGAGGTGCTCTAATTCAGAGTCACAAGACAAATTCATTTGGAGAAGAAAAGCTGACAATGATGAGCAACTGCAGTGGGGTGGGATGCGCAATCAACAGAGCTTATTGAAACCGAGGCACACAGGATAAATACAGACAAACGACATAGAATAGCTTTGTGAATAAAGTTCTGAGTTTTTGCTGCATCACCTAAAATCAGCCCAGAAATAATTTATTGAAAGGCTAATATATTAAGCCATTTAAGAAACAAGCAGCTCCTCTAGGGTATCTGTATGCTGAAAGAGACAGTACATACAAGAGTCTTTGTTAGTTGGAGAGATGCAGAAACAGAGAGCAATTACTCTATGCAGCATACTTGCATAGTATTAAAACCATTTAAACTGTAGGACTGTTCTGAGCTGGATCCACTTACTTTGAATGTTGTGTGTCAGAGGGCTAACAGCCTCTAGAGAAGATACAAACAGATGGGAGAAGGAGAATGTCAGATGAAGAAGCTGCTGCTTCTCTCACCACAAAAAACATGGGGATAAGCATATTTTGACAGTAACAGTACAGATATATCATAAGATCCAACACACTTTAATATTAGAATTTTATTACAGTTCAAGTTAAGACTGCATTGTAAAATACAAGCACGGAGGTACTTCATGATGGGCAGATTAAGCTTCCTTTGGGAGAAGCTAGCTCTTCTACCTATGGTCCCACCCACACTCCATCCCCACTTTCCCCAGATCACATCCCCTTCCTGATCCACCCCCTACCTACTCCCCTTCCCCACTCACTACATGTGTCCTCTTGCTCTGGTGACAGCAGGAGAGGTCTCACTTTCCAACTGGGCAGCGTAGGGCTGGGTTCTGAGGCGGGATTTCTGAGGAGGTGGACACTGGGGGAGGGTTTGCTGTCCAGCGCAACAAGCCAGTCCCTCTCTCTGGTGGCAGGAGCCTAGCTTACGCCTAACATTTGTACCCAGTGGTGAAGGAAATACACTGAGCTGCTGAGCCCTGCTATGAATTTGAGGTGTGGGAAAGGTGGCAGAATTCACTCCAGATCCACCAGAGCTATGATCCCGCCCCCAGTGCATTATCAGAGCATCTACCTGAGTGGCCAGCCCTGAGCCCAGGGATCACATTGTCCAGAGCCCCCTAACTCAGAAATGTATTTCCTGAGCAGCTTTGGGCAAGGCCCATCATTGCCCCATAGCTGGATCAGGAGGTGCCATTGCCAGACGGAAGTGGTGACAGGATGGTGGAATGGGGGGAGAAAGGAGAAGAGGGACATGGTGCATGGCAGAAGGAGGGGCCAAGCAGGGGAAGAGGGGAGGGGAGGGACGAGGGGGGAGAGGCTGGAAGCAGCTAAAGTTAGAGTGGAGAACTGTAGAAGAGCAGCCAAGTAAGTAGTAGTGGCCAGTGAGAACCTGGGTAAAGGGGAGGAACAGGGTGGGAAAGGAGAGGGGCTACTGCAGCCCAGGCATCTGGTGAAGGGCTTGGACTTCCCTGGCCTATTATGCCAACCACCCATGAGGTTCATAGCAAATTTTAGTTCTGCACATACACCTTCTTTTTGCCTTTGTGCTATTCTGTATGGGTACTGTGGTTTTCTGTACTTGCTTCAAGCCTTTATCAGCTGTCTGCATGTGTGCAGCACTCCATTTTAATTAGCCTCAAGATTCAAGGCTTAGATGGAATAGCAGGGGTCCCTAATTATCTTTACAAACTAGTGATCTGCCCAGAAAATGAGGAATGAGTATGAAATAGGCAGTCAGAGGCCAGTGTTCAATCATAGAGAGGAACTGGAAGAATCAAAGATAAGCAAGCAGGTCTTTAAGACCACCTAAAACAATGAACCCTCATTTTTATTAACAAATTGCATCAATTTTAGACATACACATATCTCTTATCAGAGGATTTGGAAAAGATGTTTTAGCTTAAAATTGTCTGGTGCCTATGGAGTGTTCTTGGTTTTTATCATTATTATTATTATTATTATTATTGTATTCCCTTAGGAATCCATATGCCTCCTAGGCATTATTTATAATCATATTCTCAATGTATGGGGGGAAAATCCTACTATCTTTTTTCCATTTCAAGAGATAGAAGACACTAGGATTTAAATAGTTGCTGTTCACAAGATGGCCTTGACAAAAAGGTGCAGGATTATCTCTTTAGCAATTTTAGAACCAAAGCTGCATTATTGGTATGAAGCTAAAAGAGCTTTACAGTTCTTTAGGTAATTAAAAGCAACTGTTATTATGGAAATTTCTCAGTGCAGCTGTTGTATGAGAAGAAAGGTTGTACTCTTCTCTGTCAGTAATCCCTTTAAATCTCTGACATGATGCATAGCTTCTTATACACTGCCTCTAAATTAAACAGAACTGGATGCTTTCCATAGGTAAATGTTATTTATTTATTACCTTCACTTTCACCTCCATAAGCAAGTTACACAAGAGCATGGTACCAGAACCTGAAATGGGCAGACAAAGCAATGACAGAATTTTTTTTTCATTCATTTAATTGGTTTTTCTTCCCCCCCCTCCCCAGATCTCTCATTATTTTGTGCTCAGATAAGTGTGCTGGACATTCAAAGAAACTATAGGAAGACACAAATCCTGTCCCAAACCGCTTATAATTTTTGTACTTGACACAGCCATCAAGCATGACAGATATCAGGGAGGGGATGCAGCAGGGGTGTGTGTGAAAATTACTTACATTGCTTGCAGGTACTATCATACCTCAATCCTCCCCTCGGAGGGGCTCAGAGTGTGTGTGTGTGGGAAGGGAGGTTATGATATGGGAATAACTAAGAAGTGTGGGGGTTGAGTGGGAGGAGGTGTTTCTGTGTAGGGGATTGGATATGGAGTGCTCAGAAGTCAGGTAGGGGACTGGGAGGTGGGAGGACTCAAGGGAAGTAGTGGGGGTAATGGAAAGAGGGTAGGGAGTTGGGGAGAGTGTGACCAGGGTACAGCAACCACCCTGCTCAGCTGTTTGATCCCTGGGGCTGGCTGTCATATGCCACTTGTACTGGCCAGAATCCCAATCACTGGGGCTGTGAGTGTTGGCTGGGGCCCACCAGGGCTGTTCCCCCCCACCCAGCCTTCTGTTACTGGAAACCACAGAGAGGGCTGGTTTGTACTCCTGTGGGAAAGGGGGATAGAAGGAGGGAAGTGGGCTGCTCATGCCCAGCACTGGCATGGGGACCTTACCTATGTACGGTGGCCAACAGCATCCAGAGCCCCACCCTTAGCACTCCAGCCTCTTCTTACCAGTGCACTTCATCAGCTCACTTTCATTTTTGGTATACAGTGTTTGGCTGAGTTTGGCCAAGGCTGGAGCCAGTCTCATCATGACACTCCTTATCACCTGATAAGCTCAGGCAGGCACGGAGAACTCCTGCAGATGTGGGGACCAAAATCACCTTTCTCCATAAATTTGAGAGGTTGAGTGACACTAAATGTCACACCCATTGAGGATTGAGGATGGGCTGAGAGGGAGTTCAAAAATCAAACAGGGGCCACCAAAACATCATACAATGTCTTTTTAAAATATTCCTTGATTTTTGAATATTTGGGGTTGTCAGTCCTGGAGATGGGATGAGGGTTACAGCAATATGATCACATGATTATTCAGGTTAGGCATATTTGGGCACTTATGTTCATTTTTTGTTTTGTTTTGTTTTTTGTTTTGTTTTCCTTGAGAATATGTTTACCACTTGTCCCTTTAACTTTGGATATTTTGGACTCTAGGTAGTGTTCCCCATTCCCCCCCACCATCAGTGTACTGTGTAAGATCTTTACATTTTGTACTAATACATATTGTGGATAGTCAGAGGTTGAATATGTTTTTCTAAGGGCTCTAGACCCAGCCTTGACCTACCTGACCCATATCCCTTCTTGTGTGAATTGCATGACAGAGCAAGTGACAGAGAGGAAGGTTGCTGTTAGTAGGAAGAATAGCTGGCACAGGGACTAGCACTGTGTTTGAAGGCTTTCCAGAAACTGCAGAAGGACTAATGGTTCTGAGAGCAACCTAGAAAGTTACCCCGGGAGGGCACTTTGTAATAATCCAGGAAAGAGCCAGAGAAGAGGCCTAAGGTTGTACCATAGAAGGATATCAGAGACTGTAATAGGGTAGCTGCCTCTTTAAGGGGCAGAGGTCTTGAACCAATCAGCATTGGTCTATTAGCTCCTGCCCTGCTACACTAGTGCAAATTTGGCCATAAGAGGAAGGAAATCCAGAAAGAGGGGACTGGTTGGAGAGAGAAGCAGATGGTGGAGCTAGTGGAAGAGTCCAGGCTTAGGAAGGCAAAGAGGAGACAAGGAAGGGCTGAGGGGAGAGAGAGGACGAGCAGTCTGGGTAGGGTGAAAGTGGAGCTCACAGATTGGGCAGAAGTGTGCATGAACTGGAGAAGAGAAGACTGAGCTTTGAGCTCAGTTTGAGATGGGGCAAAGACAGAGGCTATGTCTACACTCTCGGCTTCTTGCGCAAGTATGGCCGGTCTTGCGCAAGAATCCGCAGAGTGTCTACACTGCCCACCCACTCTTGCACAAGGAAACTTACAGTACAGCGTGGTAAGAAAGGGCTTCTTGCGCAAGATCTACGCTCTTTTTTTAACAGGTGTAAGCCCTCTTGCGCAGGAGCTCTTGTGCAAGAGGGCAGTGTGGACATTCGGCAGGGATTTCTTGCACAAGAAAGCCCTATGGCTAAAATGGCTGTCGGAGCTTTCTTGCGCAAGAGAGCGTCCATGCTGCCATGGGAGCTCTTGCGCAAAAGCACAGCATGCACAGCATGGACGTTTTCTTGCACAAGAACCCTTGCGCAAGATGTTCTTGCGCAAGAAGCTGCAAGTGTAGACATAGCCTCTGTGTCTTGTGTGTGTTTTAGACTTTCAAGGGCTGAAAGGCATGGACTTCTAGTTAATGGAATGGCTAGAGGGTTAAGTCTAAAAGGAGAAACTGAGGCAGACTGCTGCAGAGTCCACCCCTAGCAATGAGGGAAATGCACTGGAAATGACAACCCTATATCAAGAAGAGATTAATGTATGGGGAGCCAGGCAAAACAGTCTGCCCCATGGACAGGCACTGTAGGCAGTGACACTGAGAAACAGGGAACTAGGGTAGCATTGGGTTTAGCATAAATTCCTGCCTCCAGTTTAGTGTTGAAGTTTGGTATAATAGGAGTATGTTATGCATAGTGCTAAAGAAGTGGCAAAGGAAATCCTTACACAAAGAGAATTAGGAGTGCCGAGTCTGGAGAGAGCCAAATACAAAAAAAATCTGCTTTGCTTTTGATTTCACCAAACAGAGGGTTCTTGCTTTAACCAGAAAGCGGAAGCCTCAAGGCCACATCAAACTATCCCACAGAAAGGAAAATGGAAGCACATGCTGGAGGAGTCTCTGCATCTTGGGGTCTTTAAACCATCATTTGAGGACTTCAATATCTAAGACGTAGGTGAGAGGATTATTCCAGGAGTGGGTGGGTGAGATTCTGTGTTCTGTATTGTGCAGGGGATCAGACTAGATGATCATAATGGTCCCTTCTGACCTTAAAGTCTATGAGATTATGACATAGGGAAACCGTGGAATGGAAATGATACAGATCAATGACTGGGGGGGGGGGGGGGGGGGAAGGAAGCAGTGATTAATCTGGAAAGAGGAACCATTATGTGAAAAACCTTGAATCGGAGTCTCTCAGATCTGATAAACAGAAAGTAATTACAGTTGGGCTGTCTGTGAGCTAACTTGAGTACGAGTCCAGTGAAGATAAATAGATTTTGCCCTAAAATAAAAGAAAACTTATATTTAGGCTTGTGATGGCTAATTGTGGCACAGAACATTTGAAAAGGATGAGCCAGATTTATCAATATGTTCTGACTGTATAAGTTGTGCAAAAAAGACAATGAATATTGGTGGATCTAGCTTATTTTAAAAGCAATATATCTATACTAAACTAGTTAAAGATCTCTCTTCTCTGGCACAATTTTATACCAAGTATCCTTTAATAGCCATGAAGAAAGCACTTTATTGCCTTCATAGACTCTTCACTTCTTTAATGATTCTAGTTAAGACTTTCCAAAGTAACTAGTGATTGCTTTTACAATAGTACCCAACATAAGACACCATACAGTAGTCTGAATTTAAGAGTGCTAAGCATGTTTCCTAATGAAAATCAGGCCTCTCAAAAGTGTGTTCAACTCAGACACCGAAAAGTGAATTTTGTTTTTGAAAACATAGATTTATATTACCACTGACCACTTGCTCATCATGAACAAACCTATACTAATCAAGTGCTGAGACCTGGCATATTGCCCCAAATGGTGCCCAAGTATTATCCTGATATGTACTTTGTTTAGAATTGTCACAAACTTGTTGTATCAAATACTTTTTTATCATTGAAACTAGTAAGTTTTCACTAGGCATATGTCCATACTGCTTTCAGCTTCTGATAAATGAACATTTGCCATACATAAGAGCTTATTTGGCATTGTTAAACCAGCTCTGTTGTATTTCTAGGGGTACTTGGAATTCTGTGGATTAATGGTTGGTTTTGTACCTCAAATTTTCTACCGGTTTGTGGACCAGCATTAACAATGATCTCAGACACAGAATAAAACTATATAAAACCAAGCAGTCAGGCCCCCACCCCCTTCCCTCATAATGGGATAGGTTTGAAACTATGCCCATAAAACTAACATATTTTGACTTTCATCATTGAAAAATGTAAATTTCATATCTATTGCTCTCCACTATGAACAGACTACCTTCATCTTCTAGAATTTCAGATCTATAGGCCAGATTGCCAGGTGGTATAAATCGGTGCCATTCCAAGGAAGAGATTGGAAGGATCCCGATTTACACCAGCTGACAATCTGGTTCTATGGTTTGCTAACAAGAGTATCTATGTTGATCTTGAATAGTGATAGAAATGTAGCCGTGTTAGTCTAGGGTAGCTGAAGCAAAATGCAGGACAATGTAGCACTTTAAAGACTAACAAGATGGTTTATTAGATGATGAGCTTTCGTGGGCCAGACCCACTTCCTCAGATCAAGTGGGTGTGGCCCACGAAAGCTCATCATCTAATAAACCATCTTGTTAGTGTTTAAAGTGCTACATTGTCCTACTATGTTGATCTTGACTGTGGAAGCAGTTGCAGTCTTTCAGGTAGCCAGGCTAACTTTATAGATCAATGTCAACAACCTCAGAATTGCTGCCAGAAGCAAATAAAGTCAGTGAAGTTTTTAAATAATTGGTGTAATATGCTCCCTGTGGTGAACACAGCCTAGCAGGTGGGCAGCCTCATTTTGCATCAGCTGTATCTTCCAAGCAATCTACAAACAAAGGGTAATGATAAATAGAGTTGGGAGGGAGGTGTTTGAGATACCATGGGGACTAGTGTTAGAACTGGTCTTATTTAACATCTTCATTAATGATTTGGAAGAGGGATTAAGCAGCACATTAATTAAATTGGCAGATGTTCCACAGAAGTAATTCTAAGGGTCCTAGATAGATTACAAACGTGAATAGATATTAACAAAACACAATTCAGTTTAGGGAAAATGTAATCTCTGCCTGCAGCCATCTCTGAGTCACTTTGCTATCTGGATCTGTTTTCCTGTGGGTTTGCCACCCTTTCCTGTTTGTATATTCTGTATGTTTGAACACTGTTGAATGTGTAACAAAATATCAATGACAAAAGAGAAGCAGCAGCTACACAATACAAGAGAAGTAATTGTTTGGAGACTGGGGGTTTAGGGGTAAGAAAAGTGCTTGCTTTTGAGAGGGATTTATATGTTCAAAAAGCCTCAGTGACCTGACCTAGGCTACATCTATCAGGAAAAAAAACCCACCACTGATTTTTTCACTGCTTTGACAAAAGAGTTCCATAGACCAACTGGAAGCTCTATGAATATATGTCCACCTATGATCCATGGCTCAGAGATACAGAACTATTGTTTTAGATACATTTTGCCTGTCTTTGACATCTCACTGTCACCTGAATATAGCTTGTCAGATCAAATCAAAGTCTTTGCTGGCTAGACAGTAGAAACATAAAGAATCCATACTTTAAAAGATTGCTTACAGATAATCATAATCTTATAGGCTGGTGTGATGGATTGGCTCCCCACCATAATGCTGCAAGAGCTGAATTAGGGTAGGTGTGCCCAATTAGTTCATTAGGCTGCAAGCAGGAGTGATTTAGACTGGAGGCTATGTAATCACAGGTGCACCTGTGTGAGAACAGGCAGGGCAGCTGGCTAGAGGAGTTGTTGTCCGGAAAGACTGCGGGGAAGCTTTGTCACATAGTCATGCTTGGAGGGGATGGAGTTAGAGGCTAGCAAACCCAGA